GCTGAGTTCGACGGCCGATGGGTTCGGAACACTTCTCGGTTTAGTTCTAGAACTGCCAATATCTAAGGAAAAAAATAAGCTAAGCTAATCCGATTCGGAATACACCCATCATGAAGATTGAAATTTGACCAATAAGGATAAAGAAATTTTAGTTCCTTGTTACGTCCTGGAGAGATTCGGCCGATTCCCCGGATTCGAATTAACCCGAAACTATTGCTGGATTCACACTGCATCCGATTTTCGTCACACTGACGCTCTGCATCCAATCAGAAAACAGGATTCCGATAATACGAAGCAAAAGTCATAGGAATCCTGTTTTCTGATTGGTTGCAGAACGTCGTACGACGAAAATAGGATGCAGTGTGAGTCCAGCAATTGTACAAAATTTATTTGGAATTTTATAGTAGTATAGCGAAAATCAGAAAAGTACACTTGATCCACTTGATCAATGTGCACATAATCTAAAAATGTGTCTTTAAAAGTTAAACATATTTTCACATGTATGTATTATCATAAGTTCATGGGTGCGTTCAAGTTGACAAAGCGGCTAGCCTGCTCGCCAAGCAAATGAACATAATTGGTTGTTACTTATAGATTCAACCAATCATATTCAATCGCTCGATAAGCATGCCTAGCCGTTTTGCCGTCTTGTACTCGCCCATTACCCCGGATCTACAATAAGATTTTAACCCTTAAGCCATAAGAAATGGGTGAATTACAGTCGATTATTCTCCTCGGATTTGACTGTAATTGGTCAATTTTTTACAGCTTAAATCTTAAAACACCTATTGTAGATCCGGACTTAATGTCCGTATTCATAGGGTGCGTTCGGAAAGAACTATTCGCGCTATTTAGGGCCGCTATCACCAAGCTCAGTTAACTTAACTGGCCAGTTAGTCCATCGGAATTGACCAATCGCATTTGTCATTTTGTTTGCTTCAAACTAACTGGTCAGTTAAGTTAACTGAGCTTGGTAACAGTGACCTTTAGCACTACAAACTATTCGCTGAGCTGCAGATAGCGCTAACAAACACGATCATGAAGTCACTAATGGTAGCGTGTTACAACTGCGCGCTATCAACGCTATTCCTTCCGAAATAATGTATTGATAGCGTTAGCGTTTGCAAACTCTGCTAACAGCACTGCTGTATTGTCGCACATGGGTCGAATGTTTCAACAATCGTTATAAATCATATATGTTCCTAAGTTGTCCATAGGTTCCCTGTACATATAATTTAAGCTGTGTTCCATAAAGTGGCGTCTACAATAAGATTTTAAAGCGTAAAATTTAAGCTTAAACCTTAAGCCATAAGAAATTGATTAATCACGATCGAATATGAGAAGAACACTTGATTATTGATGGTTCAATTTTTTACGGCTTAATCTTAAATTTTACGTCATAAAATCTCATTGTATAAGACGCCGCTTTATTCACTGCGAGTACGATAGACTTATTACGTACATTTAGGACTACTCAGTTAATTTAACTGGGCCAATTAATCCATCAGAATTGACCAATCTGTCAATTCTTCAAACAAAATGACAAATGCGATTGGTCAATTCCGATGGACTAACTGGCCTAGTTAGATCAACTGAGCTTGGTGACAGTGGCCCTTAGGGCCAATTTCACCAACCACGGTTAGATTAACCGACGGTTAAAGTTAGCAGAGGGTGGCCAACAGACATTCATATTCTCTCGTAACCTCTTATATATTGTCAACTTTACGGAGCTTTGTCTATCTGAAATTTCATCAGTGAGTGAGAATACAAAATGAATGATATTATAAATTACATATTTTTTGACGAATTTGCTGGTTACAATTTAGAAAAACGTCGAAGACCACGTAAAATCAAACCACGTATAAATTATTTAGAATTGTTTGACGATGTAGATTTCAGGTCAAGGTTTAGAATATCAAAAAATCATTTTAT